CACTACACAACACAAACACCCACACACACACAAACCCAACACCCCAACACACATGCACAACCCCAACACACTCCCAACAACACCCCCAGCACACACACACTTCCACTATACAACACAAACACCCCCAACACACACGCACAATCCCAACACACCCCCAACACTCATGCACAACTCCCAACAGTACCCCCAGCACACACGCACACTTCCAATACACAACACAAACACCCCACACACACAGCACACTCCCAACACACATACCCCAACACACTCCCAACAACACCCCCCCACATTCCCACTTCCAACACACACACCAACACACACGCACACTCCCGATACTCACCACCCAACAGACCCACTCCCAGCACAGCACACACCCTAACACATTCTCAACTCAAAACACACCTTTTGTTTCCACTCTCTTCCCCCCCATCTCTGTTCTTCTATCTCTCTCACTCTTTCCTTCTCTCTCTCTCACACACACCTGCAGCAACAAAAAAGCTACCAGTTTCCATACTGGCCCTCCTTTCCTGTCCTGCTTTACTTCTGCTTTCCTAACCATGGTGGTTAGAATGACCACATCTAAAAAATAAAGCTAACTTCCCTGATGCAAAGGTAGAATGTCACTCACCTGATATTCATTTTTTTCTTGCTGAGCTTTGTGGTTTCATTTTAACGTAAACAAAAAGTGACATCTCCAAGGAATCAGCATGTCATTTCAGACAGAAGGTGTGTTAGGAGAATCATTGGCTAAAATGTTTTCATGGCTTAAAAATCATATTGGTCTTTTTTTTTAATGGCAGCAGTTTTGCTGAATAATTAGTTTCAGAGGTCACATCATAAATCTGTACTTTACAACTGTAGTTTGTGATCTTTTTGAGTCAATCTCTAGTCTTGGTTTTCCTAAACATGAATGGCACTGTGATTCAATTCAACAGCAAAACTTTTGCCTAGAACAATTTAACTATCATTAGATGTGTTGCTTACATTATCTCGAATCCCAAGGGTAGTACAAAATACAATGCATATTTTCTCAACTGTATTAGGCACTGCTCACAGACAAAATAGGGGCAACTGCCCTTATTAGAGACAGGAGTGTTTGTATAGTTCAGTGTGAGGACAAGGAGACTAGAAGTAACTGCTAACACTTTAAACGGAAAAATGGAAAGTAAATGAAATTATACTTTGTCACATTCATTTGTTTGCAAGTGTTCTCTTTACATTGTGCTAGGAGTTGGGAGAACTGCAAAGATGAATAATTCATAGTTTTAACTCTGAAGGACTTCAATCCACACCTATCATTCTTTTAGTTATTAACATAATTATTTGAGAGGTGGACTGAAGAAGATAAAATTACAAGACTTTGGATAGGTTCCTAGTCAATCAAATTTTGATTGCCTTTGTTGATTGAAAAAGCAATAAGTACATGAAGTAAACTGAAAAAGAATTCTGGGCAAAATTTGGGTCAGAATTGTTTTTAAGATTGTATTAGCTTTGATCTCTTAAGAATTGTTTATAAATAAAGCATTTATTTTAAGAAATGATCCTTCAAAAAAGTAAAATTCAAATTATCTTTATTTTCAGATGATATGGTGCTGTAAGGTACCCTAAAACTCCACCTGAACTTCTAGATCTCACAATTTCAGCAAAATAGCAGGGTACAAAATTATTATAGAAAAACTCATAATTTCTTTGTACACTAACAATAAATAGGCTGAGAAAGAAATAAAAATTATATTCACAATAGCCTCAAAAACATACCTAGGAATAAATTTAAGGAAGTAAAAGACCTCTATAATTAAAACTATAAAAACATTGAAAAAAGAAGTTGAAGCTGGCATTGGTGGCTCACATCTGTAATCCTAGCTACTCAGGAAACTTAGATTTGAGGATTGCGGTTTGAAAACCCAGGCTGGGAAAGTCTGTGAGATTCTTATCTCAGATTAACCCCTAATTGGAATAAATAAATCTGGAAACAGAGCTGTAATTCAAGTAGCAGAACATTGGGTTTAAGTGAAAAGGACAAGGGAGAAGAACCAGGCACTGATTTCAAGCTCAGGTACCAGTGTACATACACCCAAAAGAACATACACATCGGGAAGGGGAATAACAAAAAGCTGAAACAAGGACACAGGATGACCCATTGCAACAAAGACACCTACTGGACAGTATGTTGGAAATGAACATTACAACTTCAGGCAGCAAGGGTGGAATGGGGAATAGGAATGTGGGAGCTGGGGGAGGGAAGGGATAGTAGGACAACAAGAAGAAAGGGAAGAGGTAACAATGATTGACAATGTACTCATTGCCTTACTCATGTAACTGTAACCCCTCCGTACAACATTGTAGCAATAAAATAAAAATTTAAAACACACACCTTTTTTGTTTGTCTTATGGGGCTTGAACTCAGGGCCTGGGCACTGTCCCTGAGCTCTTTTGCTCAAGGTTAATACCCTACCACTTTGAGCCACAATCCCACTTCCAATTGGAGATAAGAGTCTCATGAACTTCCTGCCTGGGCTGGCTTTAAACTGTGCTCAGTATATCTAAGGCTCCTGAGTAGCTAGGATTATAGGCAAGAGCCACCCACACCCAGCTAAAAACAAAACAAACAAAAAAACTTTTAAAATTTCCTTTATTGGGACTGGGAAGGTGGCTCAGTGGTTAGAGTGCTTGCTTTCAATGCATGAAGCCCTGGGTTCGATTCCTCAGCACCACATGAGCAGAAAAAGCCGGAAGTGGGGCTATGGCTCAAGTGGTAGAGGACTAGCCTTGAGCTG